TATTTTTTTTCCCTTTTTACAAAAGTTGTTTATGAGACTATTACTGTCTGTATTTTTTCCTCAAGGTCAAATGAGAAAGAGCTCACTGCCCTGGCAGGTTTGGCTCAGCAGTTAGAGCGTCGGCCCGCGGACCATTGAGTCTCGGGTTCGATTCCGGCCAAGGGCACGTACCTCGGTTGCAGTTCGTCCTTGGCCCTGGTTGAGGTTGTGCGGGAGGCAACCAGTCGATATGTCCCTCTCACATCGATGTTTCTCTCTCTCTTTCCCTCTCTCTCTATCTGAAAATAAATAGAAAAATATCCTCGGGTGAGGATTAAGAAGAAAAAAACAAACTCACTGCTTGGGAAGCCCAGGAGGCTGGACTAATCCTCTTGTCCACTCCTCTGAACGTGAGGTCCGTGCAGATGGGCCAAAGCAAGGCCGTGACCTTGAGCTTCAGCCTGACAACCAGGCGGGGGTGACCAAGTGCCCGCTGTCCTTTGGAAACCCCAGCCCTGTAATCTGGAAACTTCCCCGCGCACGAAAGTGCCATCTGTGTGTGGCTGCATTCTCCGGCGTGTCCCAGCACATTCTGCCAAAATGCCAGGTGTGGCTGAGAACAAAAACGTCCCCCTGGCTCGCTGACAGGTTTCTGTCTGGCTTCCAACCCCGTGACTCTCTCTCTTTTTATAGCTTTCAAATTGGTTTTATTCTATAGTTTTTCTTTTTGGCAATCGGTCCTCCACATCAATTACACGTTAATTGGTGGCCTCCGTGTGTATCCACGGCTCACGCACGGCTCCTTCCCGTCGCTCTGCCCCGAAGACGCACAGCCCGTGAGCAAGGCGAGAACCCAGACGCTGCACCGCCGGGACCACACACGGCGTCCGGACATCGTGCACGAGAAACACGGGGCCGCAGCCCTGCCGCCACACAGGTGGGCACCTGCGTGCCAAGGTTATTATTCCCGACTGAGAAAGACATCGCCGGGGGTTCGTGTACGCATCTCAGGAGCTGCAACTGCGGTTCTCAGTCACAGTGAAAAGTCAAGTGTCACTCCATGTCCTCGTCATGGAAGGTCACCTCCCCACGGAGCCGCCGCACCTCCGGTTAGAGACTGCAGCCCGGAACCGGGCCCGTGGCAGGGATTATAAAGGTGACTGGGATAAGTGTGTGACACAGGGACCCGTCCGCACGAACAGGACAGACCATGTCACCCTCCCTTTTCTTTAAAAAATATTTCTTCCCGCCCTGGCCAGTTTGGCTCAGCGGTTAGAGCGTCGGCCTGCGGTCTGGAGAGACCCGGGTTCGGTTCCCGCTAAGGGCATGTACCTTGGTTGCAGTTTGTCCCCGGCCCTGGTTGGTCGTGCGGGTGGCAGCCACTCGATGTGTCCCTTTCACATCGATGTTTCCCTCTCTCTCTCTTCCTCTCTCTCCCTCCCACTCTGTCTGTACAAAAAATGGAAAAATGTCCTCGGGTGAGGATAAAAAAAAAAAAAAAAAAAAAAATATTTCTTCCCTTTATTGATTTGAGAGAGAGAGAGGGAGAGGGAGAGAGAGAAACATTGATGAGAGCCCTGGCCGGTTTGGCTCAGCGGTTAGAGCGTCAGCCTGCGGTCCAGAGAGACCCGGGTTCGGTTCCCGCTCAGGGCACGTGCCTTGGTTGTGGTTTGTCCCTGGCGCTGGTTGGGTTCTGCGGGAGGCAGCCACTCAATGTGTCCCTTTCACGTGGATGTTTCTTTCTCTCTCTCTCCCTCCGACTCTATCTGAACAAAAAATGGAAAAATGTCCTCGAGTGAGGGTCAAAAAAAAGAAACATCGATGAGAGAGAACATCGATTGGCCGCCTCCCGCACGCCCCTCACTGGGGATCGGGCCCACACCCTGGGCATGAGCCCTGACTGGGAATCAAACCGGTGACCTCTTGGTACAGGGTCGATGCTCAACCACTGAGCCACACCAGCCGGACCACCCTCCCTTTTAAGAACAGATTCTTGTTCTGGCTGGTTTGGCTCAGCAGTTAGAGCGTCAGCCCATGTACTGAAGCATCACAGGTTGGACTCTGGTCAAGGGCATGCACCTGGGTTGCAGGTTCAATCCCTGGCCCCGGTCGGGGTTGTATAGGAGGCAACCAATCGATGTTTCTCTGTCTCACCTTCTCTCCCTCCCTCCCACTTTATCTAAAATCCATAGGAAAAAACAAAACAAAAACATTCTCGGGTGAGGATTAACAACAACAAAAAAAGATTGTTTAAGAAGGTTCTCCTTAAGAACAAAATGCAAAGGGGCACATGGGTCACCGTGGTTGGTTCCCGGTGGACACCAGTCACCTTTCTAGCGCCAAGGACAGCCCAGAATAAAGACAAAAATGACAATTTAATGAATGAAAGGGACAGCTTCATGCCAAGAACTTTCAAATCATTCAATTGAAAACTTCGCTGTTTCAACTCAACCGAAGACGGGGCCCACCCATTACAAGGCAGCGTGGTGGCCAGTCCGAGCCCATCCCTTCCCGGGCTGAGTGGCCAAGGACCTCTGTCTGTTCAGAGCTGCAAGGCCGTAGGGACCTTCGCTCAGGATGCCGTGTCCCTTGTCACCACACTGGGCCCCTCTCGGACACGAGGACGTCTTAGAGGGCGTGGACATCGGAGTCCCAGCTCCAGTATTCAAGGTAAAAGGACCAGAAGAGTTCAGAGAAGGGTCAGGATTTCACATTACTGGGCAAAAAGCCTGTACGTGATTACTCTGTATCTTTCTGGTAGTGTTTCTCTCTGATACTCACCCTCAGGGTGGTAGGACAGTCCTCCTTCGGAACTGGGCAGCGGTGAAAGTCACCTTCCTCTGTGAGCTGACAGTCCATCCAGCCACACCTGGGGCCACCTCAATGTCACCTGACCCTGGGGGCTCTATACCATTTCGAAGTCGGGTTTTTCCTCCAGCCTGACGTGTCCTGCCCTGCCCCCACTGACAGTGAATGTCTACTTGTTCTTGGGGGCTCAGGGGCCACCCTCCTCTGCCTGCAGCCCTGGGTGAGGTGCCCACCCGAACTGGGGCTCCATAGCACCCCACTGAGCTGCCTCTGCATCACGCGGGGACTCACGCTGTTTCACGAACAGACTCACGGGCGACCAGTGTCCCTGGTCATGTGCAGTGAAGAATGTCCGACCACGACTACAGGTTCCTGTTTGCTGAAACCGCAGGAGAGGGGCAGCCAGCAGTTCATCCCCATGGGAGTGAATTCCACGCCCGCCTCCAAAGGCACAGAATCCCCACTGATGTGAGCTGATGCTCACAGACCCCACCGTGAGGAAGAGGACAAAAACAGCGTTGGGCTTGAAGCGCAAGGTGTGACATTTGGCAACGGTTCAGAGTGACAGACATTTGGCAGGTGGCTGGGGCCGACCTGTGCTTACGTCTCTCTGAAGGTTTGCTAAGGGTTCTGTGCCCCAGAAGCTGGAAGGAAGCCACGCCGCAAGCCATGGTGGGGACAGCTACCCTGGGAGGCTTCCGACGGCTGTCTGTCCTTCCACGGGGGACTGGCCACCACCGCCAGAGGCCGACCCCCCGGATGAAGGCTGCACCTTCATGCCCACCTCCCCCTGTGTGCCAAGGGGCTAGGCACAGGATGGGGCGGAGAACTGGTGAGCAGAAAGAATGGACGTTCCTGGAGATGGAGGACCAGATCCGCCTGCACCAAATCCAAAGGCCCCGAAACAGATAAGATGCTGGAAAGAGACAAACCTCCACCCCAATCTGGGTTCTCCCACAAGGGAGCTGCTCTGTCCCAAATGGGAGGTTTGCAAAGGTGTGTGGTGCACCTCCCTCCACGTCCCCCGAGCTGCCCAGGGAGATGTGGGTGTGGCCATGCGCTGTGGGCCTTCCTCACGGGGCGGTGCATTCGTCCAGCAGGGCTCAGACCACTATCCAGGGTCAGGAAAGGGTTCCAAGACTTCCTTTTTTTTTTTATCCTCACCTGAGGACATTTTTCCATTTTTTGTTCAGATAGAGTGGGAGGGAGAGAGAGGACCAGAGAGAGAGAGAGAGAAACATCGATGTGAGAGGGACACATCGAGTGGCTGCCACCCGCATGACTGACCAGAGCCGGGGACAAACTGCATCCGAGGTACATGCCTTAGCGGGAACTGAACCCAGGTCTCTCAGGACCGCAGGCCGACGCTCTAACCGCTGAGCCAAACTGGCCAGGGCTCCTTTTTTTTTTTTAATCCTCACCCAAAAACATCTTTGCATTTATCTTCAGATAGAGCAGGAGGGAGAGAGGGAGGAAGGGAGAGAGAGAAACATCGATGTGAGAGAGACACATCGAGTGGCTGCCACCCACACGATCCCAAGCAGGGACGGGGACAAACTGCAACCAAGGTACGTGCCCTTAGCAGGAACCGAACCCGGGTCTCTCTGGACCGCAGGCTGACGCTCTAACCGCTGAGCCACACCGGCCAGGGCCAGAGGTTTGTTCCTAACCGCCCTTGCAGGCACAGCTGCTCAAGGTCACGGTCTCATGCTGGGGTCCAGACAGAGAAGCGGCATCAGATGTGTCAGCACCAACAGCCGACACCACCAGTGCTGTCCAGAACTTCTGCAGCGGCAGCGCGGTCCCCTCTCTGTGCTCTCGAACCCCGGCACCACTAGCCACAGGTGGCGACAGGCTGAAATGCGGCTCGTGAAACCACGGCCTCAATTTTCAAATGTGGTTCGTTGTCATTGATTACAATTACGTTTTGCAGAGAACCAGTGGCCAGGGGCCTGCTGGACGAGACGGCCCCTCGGTTTACCGCAGGAGCCACGGGGCAGGCATGGTTCTCACACAGGCTCCGTTTCACAGACTGGACACCTGCACCGTGGTGGATAAAACACCTCTCTTTGCCTTTCAGAAATCACGAAACCGAGGTTGCAGGTCACCCGATCGGTGGTCAACTAGCCCTTCCATGAGAAATACACCATCTTTGGTTGTGGGACAAAGGGAGTAAGATCCACATAAAACACTGGCTCGAACCTGGCACTCACCTGTCCCCCGAGAGTGGCTGAAGTCGCCCTTGACCACGCGGCAGGTCTTGCCGTCCCCGCTGCAGACCCCGCACCGGTCCTCCTTGGCTGCCGACCCGATGATGCCATCACAGCCGATTTTCTAAATGACCAGAGAGCTGGGTTATCCTGTGTTTAAGACTCAGGGGGGTCAGCAAGGCTTCCCTGACTTCCCATGAAGCCAGCAGGCACGGTGCCGGGGCCCACGATCCTTTCCGAGGCTCGAGAAAATAATGTGTTTTGAAATCAGAAGAGGAAAAAAAAATGAATAGAATCCAGCTTGTATTATGTCCGTCCTTATACCCACTTAGCCATCCAATATATTCTTGAGTATTTATTATAGAAAAGGGGGGCCCAGGAAGGCAAAAGTGCCCCCACAAAGTCACACCGAGGCCTGAGACGCCTGGCACCTTCTAGATACCTGAGCCAGAGGTCATGGGTAGGGGTGGCCGCTGCATACATGCCCGGTGTGGCCACAATTTCACGCAATCCCAGAATACGTGTCTAATAGAGGCATAAAAATGATGGCCTCTTCTCCAGCTGGGCCCTGGCAAAATTGGGAATACGAGATTTTTTTTTTTAATACTCACCTGAGGACAATTTTCCATTTTTTGTTCAGATAGAACGGGAGGGAGGGAGAGGAAGAGAGAGACAGAGAGAAGCATCGACGTGAAAGGGACACATCGAGTGGTTGCCACCCGCATGACCCAACCAGGGCTGGGGACAAACCGCAACCGAGATACGTGTCCTTAGAGGGAACTGAACCCGGGTCTCTCTGGACCACAGGCCGACACTCTAACTGCTGAGCCAAACTGGCCAGGGTGGGAATAGGAGATTTGGCTGTCACTGTGCATCCTGGGCCTCTCTCTGCTGTACCCCAGCCTGACAGCAACCCCCACCCCACCCTCCCCAGCAGAGCAGTTTAGTCCTCTTGTAATTAGACCGAGACTTTCTCAAACAGCTCTTGATGGTCTTTGTTTTTAATTTTCCTGGCTGGAAAGAAAGGTATTTACTTTGTTAAAAAATGTTATTTCTCTTTACTGATTTTTATTATTTTATTTTGTTTTTTAATCCTCATCTGAGAATCTTTTTCCATTTATCTTCAAGACAGAGCAGGAGGGAGAGAGGGAGGAAGAGAGAGAGAGAGAAACAGTGATGTGAGAGAGACACACTGATCGATTGCCTCCCACATGACCCCAACCAGGGCTGGGAACAACCGCAACCAAGGTACGTGCCCTTGGCCAGAATCGAACCCGGGACTCTTTGGTCTGCGGGCTGACACTCTAACCGCTGAGCCAAACTCGCCAGGGCTCTTTATTACTTTTTAGAGAGAGAGAGAGAGAGAAAGAGAGAAACATCGATGGGAGAGAACATCGATCGGCCCCCTCCTGCATGACCCCCACTGGGGACTGAGCCCACAACCTGGGCATGTGCCCTGACCGGGAATCCAAATGACAACCACCGAGCGCCACCAGCCGGGTGAAGGTACTTGCTTTTTTCAACCTAACAGCTCTCTTCCAATGACTGCCTCATCCTCTCTCCATGGAGGACACCACTGACTTATTTTAATTTGGACTGAGGGCGTCCAGGCCGGGCACAGCCTCATCCGGGCATTTCCTGGGCTCCTGGTCAGTTCCGCCCATTCCTGAGCTCCTCCTTTCTCGACTTCACCCTTGTCTGGTTCAACTCCACGCAATTTCCCCAGCATGGAGGCCTGGAAAATAACATTTCTGAGTTCTTCCGTATCGCAAAATTACTTTATTTTGCTCGCATGCTTGGTTGATGAGTTGGCGGCAGAATTCTGTAATTATTGCAATTTTCTGCCAGGGTGAGTTTTTCTGTTTGTTTTTCTTGGTCTTCCTCATCCCAGCTGCTGGTTTTCTTCAAGAAGCAGATCATCGCTGGTTGACCACTCGTCTTGGAGGAAGGCACGCAGAAAGACCGACCGGGGGAGCTAGGGTTGAGGAGGGGGGTGTCCCATGGCGGGTCTCCCTGTAGGACGGGCGAGTCGGCCCCCAAACCCAGAAGTCGGTGGAAAGGTTTAGATGAGAGAGTGCAGGGGACAAGTTCAGACTTGTAGGCCTGACACCAATAAAGCTTTGGCACGGGCACTTCGGAGATGTCAGCGGCAGGGTCACGACGTGAAGAAAAGCAGCGACCAGAAGGGCGTTGTTGGGACACGGGCCCAGCCAGGCATTCAACACCCGGTTCTCTGGCCTCAGTGCTTGTGACCACCTGTCCCCGGGGGGCTCTGAGGCCAGAGTCGCTTACAATTCTCTGAAATCCCACCCGCAATCCGACTTGCCCAACAGGTCACCGTGCACAAACGGGGAGGCCAGTGAGTTCTGGACGGTGGACATGGCCTGTGGGGATGGTCAGATCCCAAAAGCACTGTAGTCCTAAGAGCATGCATCCGCTCATTTGCTTCTCTCTTTTAAAAATTTTTTCTTCATTGGTTTTAGAGAGAGAGGAAAGGAGAGGGAGAGAGATAGAAATATCGATGAGAGAGAACATTGATTGGCCGCCTCCTGCATGCCCCCAACTGGGGATCAGGCCCACAACCTGGGCATGTGCCCTGACCGGGAATCGAACCGGTGACTTCTTGGTGCATGGGTCGATGCTCAACCACTGAGCCACACTGGCCGGGCTCATTTGCTTCTCTTTCGCACCAGCTCCAGGGGGAACACAGGGAATCAGACACAGTCCCTCCACGAAGCAGCTTCCGGGCCCTGAAGGTGTTTCATTTTGGTGTGGTGTCCATCAAGCCTGGGAGAGGTGCACTAGGTAGGGTCCCGAGGCAGTGTGACCCTCATCGGAGGGAGGGAGTTGGCTGCAAGTGAAAATAAGCTGCTCAGGCCTGTAAGGAAAGCCAAGCACGTCCGGTTCCAGGTGTATTCCGACCTGCCCCCCGTCTGACGCACCCACGGGAGGCCAGCGGTCCGACGCAGGTGGGACATCGGCGGCGTGGGGACTTGACATCTTTGCTTCCGGAGGCCGACAGGAGGACCCCTGACTGGAGGGCTCCTCTTTATAGGGACTTGCTGAAAAAAACGGACAATGTTTGTGCTTCCTGCCCCTGCGCGCTCTCCCTTTTATGAGCGCTGTTGAGTTTCATTTCAGCATGTTAAGTAATTTGTGACTCACTGTAATGAAACTTCACTCAGGCCTCATAAAAACAGCACAAAGTGGTGTTTCCATGTTTCGTGTTATGGTTTGAATCAGTCTGCTATTTGGAGCTTACTGGAATCTGCTCAGCGGGCCATTTTGGAGACTCTCGTCCCCCTCCCCGCCCCGCCAGCTAGTCACTGGGTTCCTCAAAATTTCCCAGAACTCCTCCTGCGACCCCAAAATAGCAGAATTTACAGCTGAAGGGACAGAAGGAAAAGCCAGTGAGTAAACCGCACTATATTTATGTAGTGCTGCCCGACGTGAAACGTGGATACTTTCTACTTCTTCCCCGTTATAATTACATTGTGTCAATGAACAGCTACAGATCCTCCGCTCGTAAACCTCTACGACGATATTTTATTACTCTTACTGGTCTTCTCGCTAAAACGATATTTTATTACTCTTACTGGTCTTCTCGCTAACCAGTTTTCCTGGCCTCGCTCAGTCACTAGCACGAGAACCCAGAACATTCTACTTTGGCAGTTACTGTAACTGGGATAAATACCGTATTTGTACTTCATTCCCCCATCGTCGTACTTAAGTGTGCTCGCTTTTAGTACAAACACTCATTAACGATGACTTGGCCAATTTGGCTTTTCGTGCGAACTGACCTAGCAGCCGGGCTGGTGTTAACCTTTCTCGTTTCTCTCGGAAGGAGCGCTGTCAGGAAAATGACAGAGGGTACTTTTAACCTTATTCAGAAAGGGAGCTGTTTCTCCACGTTTTCATCTTGCTTCCAGGCTGGTGCTGTCGCTGTCTACCAGGACGGTGGCCCTTCTGCTAGGACTGGTGGGCTGCCTGGAGGCGGCGGGTCACGGGGGTGCACGCATGCAGAGGAGACAGTACTTTTGAAAACTGGCAGGTGGGGGTGTCCCGTCAGCAGGGCGGCTCCAAGGGCGCCCTTCCACCCACCGTAGAGCAACCACAGCTGCCTGCGCCCTGTGACCCTGCCTCGAGGGGTCGCGTTTAGTTAGAGCAGCAGTCAGTGCAGGGGTGAGTCAGTACAACGATGACAGCGATGGGGGCATTTGCGATGGACTGGAGGGCGGAGATGGGTGACATCTGGGCAGGCAAGTGGACCAGGCCATCCCTACCACACCCCAGTGCAGGGCAGGCTCTGGTCCACGGTGCCCTCTGACCACAGACACCGGGCTATTAAAATGCCTTGGGTGGCATCTCATCCCTGCTGCACAGACTGAAGGGCTGAGACCTGGCTGTAGAGGTCCGGAGGGGATGGGGGTTCTAACCCAAAAGGCAGAGGCTGCAGGTAGCTGAGTGCGGCTGCTCCAAAGGGTGCACGTGCCTTTACCTGGGACACTGTCACAAGAGGAACACATGCCACTGGGCTGCAGGATGGCCCACGCATGTGTGTCCTTGCGGAAGAAAACCAGTCCTGGGGTCGGTTTGCAAGCAGGTCTACCAAGGGCCATTGGCAACTCGCCGGCCACTACCGCCCTCCCTGGGAGGATGCCCGGCCACAACTCGGGCACAGCGTCCAGCTACCCTCACACGTCGCATCGGCGAACAGGGCCAGTCTCTGCCAACCAAGTCTGGATAGCATCAAGCTTTCCCGAAAACTCCCAGTTTGGGAAGCGTTTGGACTTTGCAGGGAAAATCCCTTCACGAGGATTGAAATGGTTGGCTGCAGGGATTGCTCCAGAAGTTGTCTCTGTGTCTGTGACGTCCTGTCCCTTTACACTCACTCACCAAGACCTTGCCACCCAGGCCATGGCCAGGCAGCGGGACGCGGACAGAATGAAGGGGAGCTGTGGCCCTCAGGGGACGACAGCTTCTCTACCCCGTGCCCCCCAGAATTTATGATTTTTTCTTTTTTTTAATCCTCACCCGAGGACATTTTTCTATTTTTTTCTCAGATAGAGTGGGAGGGAGAGAGTGGAAAAGAGAGAGAGAGAGAGAGAAATATCGATGTGAAAGGGACACATCAAGTAGCTGCCACCAGCACGACCCAACCAGGGCCAGGGACAAACTGCAACCGAGGTACGTGCCCTTAGCGGGAACCGAACCCGGGTCTCTCTGGACCGCAGGCTGACGCTCTAACCGCTGAGCCAAACCGGCCAGGGCAGAATTTATGATTTTTCAAGTACTTTAGTATTTTGCGAAAACTGAGCATTGGAGGTGGGTGTCAACTTAGGGTGTGGGGACCCTGACGCATCTGTAGCCACACGGCCCCTGGTAAAATCAGGAGACGCTCAGTGGCCCCCAGTGAGCAGCCCCCTCGCTGAGTCTCACACAGGACAGTGGAGAGGCCACAGAGGGGACAGCAAATGCCAGAGGGAAGACCTGGTTTCCCTTCTACGCCAGTGCACGTCAGTGACACCCACCTGCCTGCTCAGGGCTTGGGGACCCGCCGTGTCCTCCAGCTCTGGCGGCTCACCAGCTGAGGACACAGGGCCAATGACAGGGTGGGTCTGAGGCTGACGGAGAGCTTGTCTGGGGCTCTCACCTGACAGGCTCAGACTGAACGGGGTCATCAGGAAATGAGGCACCTGTGGCCCCTCCAGGCACCGGAGCGGGGCCGCCTCTTACCCCACCCCCACAGCAGGAGGGCGCCCGTGCTGATGGACAGACAGGAGCAGAGTCACCTCCATTCCGTCAGGCCTGGAGGACCTGGCCACAGGAGGGCCCCAGCTCAGGGACACAGTGCAGGTGGCCGCTGAGCCTCCCTCCTTCCTTTCTATTTCCTTTGTCATTTTCTTCTTTTTTTAAAAAAATCCTCACCCAAGGACATTTTTGCATTTATCTTCAGATAGAGCAGGAGAGAGAGAGGGAGGAAGAGAGAGAGAAACATCGATGTGAGAGAGACACATCGAGTGGCTGCCACCCACACGACCCCAACCGGAGCCGGGGACAAACTACAACTGCGGTAGGTGTCCTTAGCGGGAACCGAACCCAGGACTCTCCGATCTGTGGGCCGACGCTCTAATTGCTGAACCAAACTGGCCAGGCCTTTCCTTTGTCTTCCTAAATGACATTTCTCATCGTCCTAATGAGTCAGGCCTCCAACATCAGGATGGGTTTGGGGGGTATATTTCTGTGGGTGGAGCGAGCGGTCCCCCAAAGCCGGGCATGTTTCTCTCCCTGGGTACCACCCGCAGACCAACCTGCTCAGTGCTGTACCGTCTGCGGCCAATCAGGGCAGAGCTTGTGCAAAAACATGTTCACGTTCACCGTCCAGTCTCTCCTGAGCATTCAGGCTGCTCTTCCCTTTGTCACGAACGGCTCAAGTTATTTAAACGTTTCTGAACATTTAAACACCACCTCACTGCTGTTCTTCCAGCCACCTCAACTCCCAGGGGCCTGCAGGAACGGTGCCAGGCTTGGGAGATGGCACCCCTGCACCTAAAGGAACCCACTGCCCAGGCCTCCCGAGGCCCCCACCTCGTGCCGGGCCCCTCTGCGGGGAGGGAGCCTCTTCAGAGCCCCACCGAGGACGCAGAGGAAATACGTCACCTGGCACCTGCCGTGTACACAGAGGTCGGTCTCGTAGGGCCCGCAGGGTGTGCCATCCAGGACCCTGTCGGCCACCAGCAGCGGGGACTCCTTTCCCAGCGGCGAGCAGTACAGTTCACACGGCTTATCTGCGGAGGGAAAGGGGGTGAACGTTGACATGAGAAGGGGTGCGTGGGCCATGCAGGGCGCGGTGATTGCTCTGCACGGGAACCTCCAGAGAGAGACACGGGCACCTGTGTGGCGCCTGCGCCGGGCCCTCTGCCTCCCGGAGCTGGTGTGACCCACGAGGACCTGGACACCGAGCGAGGGAGCTCTTGCTAGAGCAGACACGCACCACCTCTCCGGGGCTCTGATGCACGTGCTCGGCGGACGGTTAGAGGGTGTTCCTAGGTGACAAGGAAGGGTCCCTTGGCCTAAGCAGTTTGAAAACGGCGGATTTTAATAACCTGTAAACTGAAGGGTTGTCTCGATACGTGGAGTAGCTGGGCTTTGAGGCGATTCACTGAACAGCAGCAGAAATGCCGACAGGGATGGTGACTGAACTAAATACCAGTTCGTGTCCACCATGAGCCGGGTGGCGTGCTAAGTGGTGTCTACGCGTCTCGGGAGAACGCTGTCCTTGTTTGGCTCCACAGACCGGCACACCAGTCCCTCGACGGGCAGAGTCGGACCCTGGCCTTGTGGGTCCTCCTGCTTTCCTTCCCACCAACCCCATTTTCTTTCCGATGGAGAACTTGGGGGGCCAAAAATGCCGAGGGAAAATGGTGCTGGCTGAAAACAAACCACCAGTTTCAGGAACGTTTTGGCTTCGGAGTGTAGACCCTGATTTCAGTGGAAATGGGATTCGGGTAGAAAACGAAAGGCGCTTTTGAGCTAAGTTAGAAAGAGCATCAGAAAAGAGGAGACTTTCCAAATCCAGGGGCCCCACCTTGATGGAGGGATTGTGGTCCTGACTCCAGGCAGGACGATACGCTCAACTCAACCTGCACGACTCTCCCACTCCACACTGTCCTCCATGGTTCAGGCCGTCTGAGGGCCCCCAGATCCCGGAGCAGAGTCCATGGGGGGCACTTCCCTCCCTGCATTTTATCATCTTCTTTTCTGAGCCCTCTGCTCAGGATCCAGGGCATCCCACAGCCCTGGGAAGGAACAGCACCATCTCCTAGAGGTCCCAGGAAAACCTTCATAAAACTGGAAGAGACTCAGCCCTCAAACGTCTCTGAACATGTCCCTCCAGGATGCCTGGGGTGGGTGAGTCCTCTCCAGGGTGCCTGGGGTGGGTGAGTCCTCTCCAGGGTGCCTGGGGTGGGTGAGTCCTCTCCAGGATGCCTGGGGTGGGTGAGTCCTCTCCAGGATGCCTGGGGTGGGTGATCCCTCTCCAGGGTGCCTGGGGTGGGTGATCCCTCTCCGGGATGCCTGGGGTGGGTGAGTCCTCTCCAGGATGCCTGGGGTGGGTGAGTCCTCTCCAGGATGCCTGGGGTGGGTGAGTCCTCTCCAGGGTGCCTGGGGTGGGTGATCCCTCTCCAGGGTGCCTGGGGTGGGTGAGTCCTCTCCAGGGTGCCTGGGGTGGGTGAGTCCTCTCCGGGATGCCTGGGGTGGGTGAGTCCTCTCCGGGATGCCTGGGGTGGGTGAGTCCTCTCCGGGATGCCTGGGGTGGGTGAGTCCTCTCCGGGATGCCTGGGGTGGGTGAGTCCTCTCCGGGATGCCTGGGGTGGGTGAGTCCTCTCCGGGATGCCTGGGGTGGGTGAGTCCTCTCCAGGGTGCCTGGGGTGGGTGAGTCCTCTCCGGGATGCCTGGGGTGGGTGAATCTTCTCCAGGATAAAAGACCGTAGTGCGGAACGTGACATTCTGGGGTTCCGCGTCAGACAGTGTCAACACTCTTGCAGACTGAGTAGCCCAGAAGGAGGTCACATCTTGTAAGTTACACAACCACCCGTCCCAGGAAAGAAGTCTGGAGCATTCCTCATGCCCAGATGAACTTCTGATGGAGGCTGGACGGTCTGGGGTGGGTCCCCGCTACCACTGGCCCATCTGCTGTCAGGACTTGGCTCGGATGCGGAAGCCAGAGACGCGGAAGGGGAAACAGACCCAGGGGTTTGAGGGCCACACGGCCCATCTGCTTGGTAGATGCTTGGAGGGTTTCCCCCGGAGAAGAGGACAGTGGTGGTTGCTTAGCACTCCCACTTAGTTCTCTGTCTACCAGTAGTTACAGTTCTCACTACGGTGGAGACACCACTTAATTCTGAGACCGTGTCAAATGCTCACCTATGCCCTGCCTGCCCTTCACGCTGAGGAGGCTGCTCAGGCCACTGTCCCCAAAGATGCTCAGCACAACCCAGCAGCCTGACCTCAGTGGGTTGGGCCAGCCGTGGCCACCTGACCATAGCTACACCAATCAGAGTCTCTTTCCCCACCGTGACTTCATAGTTAGGGCTCAGTGGATTGGGCCAGCAGTGGCCACCTGACCATAGCTACACCAATCAGAGTCTCTTTCCCCACCATGACTTCATAATCAGGGCTCAGTGGGTTGGGCCAGCAGAGGCCACCTGACCATAGCTACACCAATCAGAGTCTCTTTCCCCACCATGACTTCATAGTCAGGGCTCAGCTGACTGGACTCGCAGTGGCCACCTGACCATATTTGGACCAGAGTCTCTCTCGTGGGAAACCAGTATTGCAATCCTGATAGAGAGGTTGTCTCTACTCATGCTTGGTGCACCCCAGAGAAGTCTAGGTAACCTTATCCACAATCCAGGAACACAAAGCTCTGAAAATGGCCTCTTCTTACATTTATGGCCAACACATTTGCCAGTGAAACCAGCCTTGGCTGACGCGAGGTTGTGGGTACTGTTCGGTACCCCACTTGGAATTGCTGTCCATGGGCTACCTGGTAGAGATGTCCGCGTGTCTGACTGCGGGGTGCTCCTCTGAACCCCACCGAGAGTATAATGTGGTTATGGCTGCTGCACTGTTGTTACCTGCTAACGCGTAAAACGCTCTGAATTCTGAATGACATGTGGACCCAAAGGATTTGGATAGGGGATGAAGACACACAAAAGGCACTGTGGGCCACGCACCAGCTTCACGTACACCGGCTGTGAGGGGGCCATTCGGCAGCGCGGCAGGAAGACATGATCACACACACACAGTTGTGGTGGACGTGGACAGCGCTCCTGATATCCTCAGAGGCCTGGCCTCGGACCCTCCCCCTGGTCCCTGGGCCAGTGAGACACCCGTATCTTTAAAATAGTTTCCCTCTTTCTCGTTAAGCAACTCCAGCCGGCATGGCTGAGATGGAGACAGACAGCCCTCACCATCATACCCTCCCGGTCCCCTGGAAAGCTCAGACCGCAGGGGTTCAGCCCTACTGGGGAGAAGAAGCTGGGAATGTTCTTCTCCGTCCAGACATGGCCTCTGCCAAGCCCTCCGACACTTCAGTGAGCACGTGGCCTGCTGGCCTGGACAGAGAGGCCTGAACTCTTGCAGGTTTCCACTTAGAGATTCCACGGGGAAAGCAGAAATGGGGTGGGTTTGGCAATGGGCCACCCCAACGGGCTCTGTCTGAAGGCTTTTCCACGGAGAAATTTTTCTAAGAGCCTTTGCCCTCTGTGGGAGGTGGTATGGATTTGTGTTCCTGAATCCTCCCTCGGAAAATCTACCTCTGCAAGAATTTCCTTTTTTTTTTTTTTCAATGAGAGAAAAAATATAGCTTCTCCTTTTCTGAACTGTGCGTCATCCGCCAAGGAATCCGGCAGCGGTAGCAGGGCCGCGGACAGGGCGGTCGCCAGGGACCGAGGAGCCTGGGGCCTGACCGCCCATCGCTGCCAGCCGCAACTGTGCCCTTTACACAGGGCACGCATTTTCCAAGGGGCGCTTCTCATCTGCATTGGCCCCTCTGAATTGGCCGTTTCTGACTCGGTCTTCATCCTGGTGAAATGCTCCTTTAAAAAGCGCTGGCTTCTGTGTACAGTGGAGACGGAAACGAAACCGAACAGGAGACAAGTCCTGACCATTCCACCCCGGAGCGGGAGGAGCCCCTTGCAAAGCCCTGAACTCGAGGTCTCTTCTTCACCGGCAAAGTGCTTACTGTGTACTTGGCTGTCCTCATCGGATGCAGGGCGGTGGGTGGCACTCTGGCTCTCGTTATTTCTTGCTTTGGGAGAAAAAAAAGAGCAAAAAGCAACCGAAGGCCACGAGCTTCCCCAAATAGCCCGCGGTGGGGCCTCTGGGAGGGGCTCCGGGCAGCCGGCAGGCTCGGCCGCGGGGATGATAAGGCGGCCGAGGGGGTCAGCCGTCTCGCAGCGGTTAGAAGTAAAACAGAGGTTTAATCTGGGCTTGGAGAAATCGCTGGAAAAACAGACATGTGAGCGGGATTTCTGCGCTGCCTGAGTGAGGCAGGGAAACCGAAAACAAAATCGAGAGACGGGGGAAAGAATAACAAGAGCTCCGGGCACACAGCTGAGTGGAAATGAGACCGGGGGAGTCTGTCTCAGCCCGACCTCTGACCTCCTCTTGCTCCCGAGACGTGGGAGAGGACCCGACAGAGGGCCTCAGCGTCTGTCTATCAGAGAGCAGGAGGGCGTGTGGGGGCCTCTGCCTGCAGCCGCACGCGGTCCCCTGGGGAGGCGGTCTCTCCTCTCCCTCGTCTTTGGGAAAGCTGAGGTTAGGCCACACGTCTGACGTCCGTGGGGGTGGGGGGGTCCCAGTGCCCCTACAATCACAGCTCCCCAAGGTGGTGTTCTTTTTCCAGCACGTCTGGGGCGCTCCCCGATGCTTTAAAAGAAGCCCTCGGCCGGGTGGGTGGGCATTACGTGGCAGGACTGAACACCCCAGGTCACTTTACAAAGTCCGTTCAGAGTGGACGGGTCGGGCTGCTGGTCTGAGGCCGTTCCTCCCTGTGATGTCCGGGCCTGTGTCCCCGCACAGCTCTGGACACGCGAGCGTGTCGCGCAGACCGTACGGCGTCGACCGCAGAGGTCCCGTGTCACAGGGAAGAAACCTAAGACCTGGGGAGGCCCGCGTTTCCCTGCAGGGTCCCGGAGGCTGCACACAGCCGGGCCCTGTCTTCCATCCCCGTGGGAGCCCCTCAGGCGGCACTCACGAACTCATGCTTCCTGTCTCACGCGGGCACCGGGAGCCAGATGACAGTTGCCGGTTTCCTGAGTGAGCTCCCCCAGAACTGGGGTCAGCGCCCTCTCTGCTTTCTGTCGGCTCCAGGAGCGCAGACGTGTCACGGAACCCGTGGGCTCCGGCTCTGCACGGCTTGTTTGCACGTGGAGTGAGACGGCGTATACAGAGCTACCGTGAGCCGGGCCGAATGTGCTGGGTAAACGGGCTGCACCCCATCGCTGCGACACCGTCTGCTTTCCCGAAGACGAACCGTTGTAAGTGTGAAAGACACTTCCCCAGATCCACGGTAAACCAATGCTACGGACGGGATGCGCCACCTAGAACCTTCTCCGCGTCGGAGATAACTGCACAGCCCAGTGGCCAGGGTCCCTGAATCTGGGAGAAAGATCTCAGAAAGAAAATGTTTGTGCTTATTATCACCTTCATCCAGCTGCACACTGTTCTCGCTTCTCCCCACACACTCCAGCGACAGAGGAAGAACCAACCCGAAATGAACTGGGAGGAGGCAACACAGCATGAACACGGGAAAGGGAATCCGCAGACAGACAGACCCACTGGCCCGCCCCGCACGGCCTCCTTCCCCTCGGAGTTGGCCCTGGGCCCCTCAGCACATGGCAGGGAGTAGCAGCGGCCAGCACCCCGCCTTGCTGCAAATGGGGGTGCCGGGGGAATCTGGGCCGCTGCCCGCCTCACAGCTGCTTTGGGAAATCGCACAGAGCCGGGTCATCCAAGTTCAACCCGCTGCTCTAGAAGTGGGTCCAAGGCTGACTCGGGCAGGAGGGCCAGAGCCTCCGGTTGGGTGGATGGCGGGTCGGGGTGCCCTCTGGGTTTCCCTAGGAGGTGACATGTCCCCGGGGCAGGAAGGGGGGACAAGGACGCGCCCTCTCCCTTTACCGTCCACCACCACCGCCGTTAGCAGGCCCTTCTTCTTGCGGCTCAGCCGGTCCTGCGTCTGGCACTGCTGGTCCCGGAAGCTGGGCAGGCCCTTGGCGCAGGGCAGGTGCTCACAGGCGGCATGCTCCACGTTGGCACCCCGGCAGTGCGCGCCTCCAGGCCCGGGGCTAGAGGGGAGAGAGCGGCGGGTTACCGGGCGGAGCGGGGCACGGAGCGGCGTCCGTTTCTGCGGTCTCACCAGGAGGGGAGGGTCCGGGCAAGGTCACCAAAGCACCCCCTACTCTCACACCCCACCCCAGCAGCCCAGGCTCACACTGACGCACGATTCAGCGAGCCGTCCGGAAAACGCATCCAGAGCCCATAAATCAAGGTCATCTGGAAACGCAATATGGTGAGTATCACTTCAGCAAGATCCCCAAACTGTGTCTTTCATCTGAACTTAAAACCTGGCCATCTGTCCCAAGGAAACCCCAAGGGAAATTTTGGGTGTGCGGGGGTTTTGTTTTCTTTGGTCTTCTATAAAACAGACCTTTACGTGGCTCCTAGGTACACTCCCGAGGTAGCCAAGTTTCAGGGCGAGTAAATCGTTTTCATTTACTTTATAATGAAAATAACCAGAATGATTAATTCGCTTGTTCATGGGCTTTGGGGAGAGACCAGTCAGAGCTCTGGTCTGAAACCCTTCCCCGGGCAAGTGGGAGACCATACGTGGTCACTGATGTCGCCGTGGGCCCTAGACGCTGAGAAGGGGGTTTGGAGCAGTTCCGGAGACCCGGCTGTGTTCTCCGGCCGAGTCGACGTGGAGGGGCAGCATCGAGGAGGAGGAGGGCACTGGTCTGGCTGGCTGAAGTGTGTCTCTGCCCAGCTCTTCCCCAAAGCCCCGGGTGTGCCCACAGGACCCTGACCTGGGCAACCGCAACGGTTCCCTTCATCTCCACGATGCCAGTATCACGATGGAGTGAGGTCGCTACCCATTTGCACTTCTTGTCGGAATTCAGCACATGAGAGACAGGAGCTCAAATCACAGCCGCCCTGCCCAATGACTCTCCACGAACTGCACCCGCCTGCCGGCAGGGGGATATTTCTGACACATGGACCATTTCAAGCACAGCGGACCCCGGCACAACATGGGGGTGAGGCGCACGACCCCCACCCCCCGCACAGTAAAAAGTCCACATGTGACTTAAGCTGACCCTCCGCATCTGCAGGTGTCCTGACCATGTATGAAAAGTGCCCAGCGGGCTGAATCCACAGATGTGAGACCCAAGGGTACAGAAGCCAACTAGGTGTTTACTGAAGAAACATCCATGTGGAAGCTGAACCCCGCAGTTCAAACCCGTGTCGTTCAAGGATCAACTGCATTTCTGTTGTTGTTAATTCTTACCGGAGGGGACTTTTTCATAGATTTTTAGATAGAGTGGAAGGGAAGTAGAGAGAGGGAGGGAGGGAGGGGGGAGGAAACGAGAGAAAGAGAGAGAGAAACATTGATGAGAGAGAGACACATCGATTGGTTCCCTCCTGCACGACCCCAACTGGGACTGGAGAACATACCTGCAACCCAGGTATGTGCCCTTGACCGGGAATCGAACCCCCAACCCCTTGGTCAGAGAGCTCATGCTCTAACCACTGAGCCAAACCAGTCAGGGCTCAACTGTATTTCTTTTCCTTCCTGTGCCATTTCTCGGTTCCAGATACTGACGCCACCCTGAGGCTGTTGCCTTAGCAAAGGGAAGTGAGGCAGAGGTCTTCAGACTTCTGCGCCACGGAAGCCTGCACCGGGACCACACGCTTGTTTTGCAAAAAGCGTGGCGGTGGCTGTTCCACGTGTTGTGAGCCACCGGGTGGTCAGCTGCAGCGGCTCAACTCCCCAAAGACAGCGCGGGCAGTGTGTGAACAAGAGGACATGCCAATAAAACTTTATTTACAAAGCAAGGGAGCAGGCCAGGTGTGGCTCACAGCCCACCGCTTGCCAGCTCCTGGCCTAGGAAATGTGTTGGAGAAAACACCTGGCGGGGCAGGAAAGGCTGCCCTCCCCCCACGTCCACCTCACGCACCCCCGGCACCTCCGTCGCCTGGGTGGGGGCTGCCTTGTGAGATTCTACAACTGGTGACCCCAGGGAGGGGGCTCTAAGTTTGACCTTCAAGTTAGGAAGCAACAAAGCCTCTCTGAGGTTTATGGGGTTTGAGAACAGAGGGCCCTGTTCCCTTGCCAGCCCAGAGCACCCCCGAGGCAGAGGGGCCGCAAAGAAATGTCTGGGTGGCCCCTTTAGGGCGGTGGAGTCTCGGGCAGGCTCCCCGGGTGCTCTGGCCCCAAGTGCCAAGTGCAAACAGGTGAAGAAATTCCTGTGCCACAAAGCGCAGTGTGGGAGGAACAGAGGCAGGCTGGCTGAGCACACACATCGACCAGCAGGAGCGATGTCTCTGCCGCAGGCCAGCTCCCATAGCCGGGACCCAAGAAGGGACGGGCGGGACGGCAGGTGCTGTCCGGCGAGAGCTACAGGTAGAACTGCGTCCCTCCCCAAATTCTTATGCCGAAGTCCTAACCCGGGGCCTCAGAATGTGGCCTTATTTGGAAGTAGGACCAGTGCCGCTGTAATTAGTGAAGATGAGGTCATGCTGGTGGAGGGTGAGCTAACCCCACACAATGGGTGTTGCTATAAAAAGGGAAAGTCTATTTCCAGACCTTTTATACCACCACCCGGGCACACAGGGAGTGTGCCATGTGAAGATGGCTTTTGGGCGGTGCCTGTCTCCTCCACGGAGCACCAGCGATGGCCCGCAAACCACCCGCGGCCAGAACACAGGGATGGGACACTTGCCCCCGCGCGGCCCAGGAACACGCCCTCCCACACCTTCACCTTGGACTTCCAGCCTCCACGAGGTGATGGGGGTACATTTCTGTTGGTTACACCCCCCAGTCACGGGCAGTCTGTATGCAGCTCTGGGCGGTGACGGCGCCAGATGTCCCAGGGCCGGACGCCCTCGCTGAGCCACGAGGCAGACCCGGGGGACATGGGGTGAAATCTCCCAGTGGTTAGGGACCCTATGTGGACTAGAATGGAGTTCAAAAAACACAAATTAGGTTGGTTTCTAGAAAAATAAAGGACGCTGTGTTCCTGTACCCCTGAGGGTGAGAACTGCTCACGTAACTCACTCTGAGTCGTTTTGCTTTATTTTAGCTTCCGTGGCATCGTCTCTGTCAATTGATTTTTTCCAGATTTACGTCTCTCTGACCCTTGTCCACCAACGACCATGAAGTCCCCAGCCGGTGGGGGAGGGATCAGACAGACAAACTCTGAATCCAGAGAAAGGGGGCCTGTGGGATTCCACCTGGGCTTCTCTCCTGAACCCCACTTACCCTGTCTCTTCTCCACAGGCAAGTCTCCCTTCAGCCCCGATCCAGCTCACGGCCCCAGCACCCCGCAACTCTCCGCCTGTCCTAAAGGCCACCTCACCTGGAAGCCTATTTCTCCTTCCTACCGGGAGCCTCTCCTGCCCCTGCCTGGGTCTCTGCTACGTGGCTCACCGCCAGCCTTGTAAAATGCTGACCTGGGCTCCTGCCTCTTTCTGGTCCCCTGCAGCCCCACAGGGAATCGACAGAGGCTGGCCGGGCCTCAGCAGTGGTCAGGATGGATGGAACTATAGCAGCAGAATTCACCTTAACACGCCCAAAGGGGAGACAGAGGTCAGGGAAGACGGCAGTGGGGCAGGAGGCAGCGGGAACCCGTCTCTCCTCTTCCACACCCGCACTGGCCGAAGGTGTGCGCAGGGACCATGTACAGCCGGGCCTGTTCCGAAGGCCGCAGCCTCCAGGGCAAGCCTGGCTGGTCGGCTTGAATGATTTCGGTCAGTCCCCGTCTTCGGTGTGGCGACCTGTTCCCCGTGCCCCGGCCCCGTGGCCGGCAGGATGGCCAAGAAGGAGCTTTTTCTCCAAAGGCCTGGAAGGGGAGGTGACAGGCCTTGGGGATCTCATCCTGAAGCGATGACAAGGGTGAGACACGGGGAGGACAAAGGCGCCGTCTCAGCCATTCACAGTGACAGTGAGCGGACGTGCCCGCGCCCTCATGAAATCTGCAGAGCGCCCGGGGGCCCGACTGCCCAGAGCGCCCGGGGGCCCGACTGCCCAGAGCGCCCGGGGGCCCGACTGCCCAGAGCGCCCGGGGGCCCGACTGCCCAGAGTGCCCGGGGGCCCGACTGCCCAGAGCGCCCGGGGGCCCCGACTGCCCAGAGCGCCCGGGGGCCGCACTGCCCAGAGCGCCCGGGGGCTCGACTGCCAGAGCGCCGGGGGGCCCGACTGCCCAGAGCGCCCGGGGGCCCGACTGCCAGAGCGGCCCTGGGGGGCCCGACTGCCCAGAGCGCCCGGGGGCCCGACTGCCCAGAGTGCCCGGGGGCCCGACTGCCCAGAGCGCCCGGGGGCCCGACTGCCCAGAGCGCCCGGGGGCTCGACTGCCCAGAGCGCCCGGGGGCCCGACTGCCCAGAGCGCCCGGGGGCCCGACTGCCCAGAGCGCCCGGGGGCCCGACTGCCCAGAGCGCCCGGGGGCCCGAACTGCCCAGAGCGCCCGGGGCTCGACTGCCCAGAGTGCCGGGGCCCACTGCCCCAGAGCGCCCGGGGGCCCCGACTGCCCAGAGTGCCCGGGGGCCCGACTGCCCAGAGCGCCCGGGGGCCCGACTGCCCAGAGTGCCCGGGGGCCCGACTGCCCAGAGCGCCCGGGGGCTCGACTGCCCAGAGTGCCCGGGGGCCCGACTGCCCAGAGCGCCCGGGGGGGCCTGACTGCACCCTCAGATGCTGGCACCGAGCTCGGGCACGCCGGGCACAGCAGGAGCAGGCTGGGAAGGGGCCGGCCCTCGGCCACCGCCACGGGGTGTGATGGATGGCTCAAGGTGCCGTTTCTATCTCTACCCTAACAGGGCTTTCTTTTTTTATACAATTTTTTTTCTTTATTGATTTTAGAAAGAGAGGAAGAGAGAGGAAGAGAGAGACATCAATGAGAGAGAACATCGACTGGCCGCCTCCTGCATGCCCCCCACTGGGGATCGGCCCAACCCTGGGCATGTGTCCTGACCGGGAATCGAACCGGCGACCTCTTGGTGCAGGGTCAACGCTCAACCACTGAGCCACACAGGCTGGGCCTTAACAGAACTTCCTAAACACGAGTCAAGTGGGAG